GGTCTGGACTATGAGAAGAAGCGTCAGTACACTTTGCTGGTTACAGTGGAGAATGAAGCTCCATTTTCCACTCAGCTGCCCACAGCCACTGCGACAGTTGTGGTGAATGTAGAGGATGAAGATGAGCCTCCACCTGCATAGAGGCTACAGATATTCAACAGAGTTTAAAATGCGTTTTATTAATACATTAGTATAATGAAAATTTCTTTGGAAGATCCTCTATTTCAGGTATTTGCTCTAATATTTAATGTTGCAATCAATAAACGTCCTTGTGGTGTAGGATAGGTCTGAGGCTCCTCACCACCCTGACGAGGATGAATGGTTAATGTCAGTGATAAAATTACACCATCCCTTAATCAATGAATATCATGCCAACTCAATAGGATAGAAAGGGCATCTCTGATTGTAATGTTTAGTATTCTTAGTTTGGCTGGTTACAGTGGAGAATGAAGCTCCATTTTCCACTCAGCTGCCCACAGCCACTGCGACGGTTGTGGTGAATGTGGAGGATTGAAATCATTTGTCACAATTTAAAGTTTTTTTGCTTAATGTATTAAGTAAGTTTTGAAAAGTCATCAGTAGTTTCTGGATTTCTGCAAATATTTTAAACTTACATTGATTAACTACATATATATTCCCGCAGGTGATTTTAGTAAAAGTAAGTCCAAACTTAAACAGTCTGTGTGCAGTTCCGTTACTATAGTGTAGTGGGCGCCAGAGGTCTCTCAGTCATGCTAAAAAAGTCTATAAACCTGCATGGAGGACAGAACTTCTGTCTTCTCACCAATTCTGGCAACTACACATGTACACAATCAATTTTTCTTTTAAAAGTGTTTTTAGTCTTTTTCAAGTATTGTTTTTTTCTTGTAAGTTTTACTCAGTTAACTATTTTTGTACTAACATTATTGCCAAGGTGCACCTGTACTCCACGAATGGATTCCAGGTTGGCCACTGGATAAGCAATACAGAAAATTTAATTATTATTAGGTAGCATTATTATATTCATTTTATTGTCTTCTGTTCATGTTCACTTTCTTGCTTGCACATAACTTCCTGGTCAACCACATATCCTATTCTATTCTGTTCACGTATTTAATGATAACAAAGTGAATCGCTTAAGGAAATGTTTACAATGTCATCTCTACTGGCCATACAGATGAGTTCCCACCACTGACAAGTATTCAACGGCAGCAAGCCGGAAAGGAGGGCTGCAGTGCAGCTACATAAATAAATCATGCTATCTACTATTGTTAAAAATAATTAACTTGCCAGTTCTGGCTCAAGCTGTTAAGGAGCCATGTTTAACGACATGGACGCCTTTCATAATATCAATTCAAACTGGTGACAAGCTTCATTTTAAACACAGTTCTATTGTAGACTGTGAAAGGGCACCATAGGATCTAGGGAATTTCACAATAACTGTATACAAATGATTATCATCTAATTGCAAAAATATATTTTTTATATCTTTAAATGCATTGTGTATTACATGCAAGCTATAAATACTGAATTTATCTATATGTAGAAGTCCTGTCACAGATGGTCTCTAGAGCCAATTTACAGTCCAGTGCAACATGACTGGGAGATTTACAGAATTAGCTTACATAGGTGGTGGTTTAGACTAGGTTTAGACTTCAGTCATACAAATAAACCTGATCTACAGATGTGGCTATCCAAGCCGTGACGTGTGGGATTACAGTGCATTGATTTGCTCCTTAGCTACATCTAATGTGGACCACCAGCCAATGCGAACTATGTAAAGTAGAATATAAATGGGATAATTCCCTTTTCAGCTGCCCCATGTTGTGCTCCATGAGACATAGATAAATGAGAGCGAGCTTGGAGGTCACAGCACAGGGTCTGGCAGTGTGCTGCCCCCCTGCAACTGGGGGTTAAGGGCCTTGCTCAAGGTCCCAACATGTGATTATTCTGTAAGGGCCTGACCTGACAACCTACTGATCACAGATACGGAGGCCAAACCTGCTGAACAACATACCGCCCCCCTCAATCAGTGTGTTAGTTATTGGTAACACAAAATAATCCCACAACCTCTCAGTTTCTAAGGCTCACTTTTGCCACCACTAAAGGTTATTATGTTCAATGTAACGTTTGCCTGAGAACTTCATGTCATTACTGTTGGGCATAAGCCTGGACATATGATAACTTATATCATCTTTTAACCACGTCTGTTAAATATTTTATATTTTATCTCATTGCCTTCAACATGTATCAATATGTAACATCTGTGTAATCAGATTAGTTGTCTTCTGCCATGCATCAGGGTGCCTTAATTTAAAACAATGGGCATCTGTGTATCCACAGATGTGTGTCTAAGCTGACCTGGGGTCTTCACCTGATAAGACTCAGCTTTCAGCCTAAGTCTCAAAGTCATACATATAAAACACCCAGCAAGACAAAAAATGTATAAATGCAGTTTCCACTAGTTTTGACCAAGACCTTTTCTTATTTGATAAAATTATACCATCAGTTAATCAATAAATATCAAGCTAGGTAGACAGAACAAAATGACTATCTCTGTAATGTTTGGTATTTTTAGTTAACAACCGTTATACTGCTTGAAACTGGTGGAAGTCAATTTTTATTTCACCTAAAATCACAGTGCTACCTATTTTTACCTTCTACTGTGCACTGTCAACCATTTCAAATCAGGACTTGCTTCCAGGTCGACTGCATGCAAGAAAATATACCTCTGTTTTAACTTGATTTTTGGTAACAGGTGATATAGTCGTCAAGGCCCTGGGCCAAATAAAAACCTCCTGACATCACTTCCTGTTCTGACTTGTTGGGGGTGACTGAACATGTTAAAGTCCATGATATTATCCAAAAGATAGGTAACTTCTAGAAGGTAACTTATCATTTAAAATTATATTACTGTAAATGTCAATGTTTTACACATTTAATCTGACTGGCAGAAAGACATATTACAGTATACTTCACGGAAGAAGTACAATAAAGCAGATTGATCT